TTTTAGGTACGTTAGTAAAATGGCTCATGCTGATTTGAAACCTACTGGAATTAACCTTCTCAGTACAATGTTTCTTTGCGTTCACTGGGCTTAAGTAGTTTTTTCTGATGCATGTAGTGTTTCTGATGCATGTAGGGTTTCTGTGTATCAGCTGGGGTGACTCATTTGGCTGCATTCATTTGGTGCTGGGGCTGGAATATCCAAGATATTTATATGTATGACACTTCAGAGGGGTTGGCTGTAATGACTGTGAGCTGGCTGGGCCTCATTTTTTGTCTAGGTATTTAGACTTCTTGTCAGGAGGCTCTGGGCTCTGAGAGTGCAAATGTGGAACATACGCATCTTAAGGCCTAGGCTCAGAAGTGGTACTACGTAATTTTCACTGTATTCTTTTTATCAAAGCCAAGTTATAATGCCAGTTGGATTCAAGGTGAGGGAAATGGATTCCATCTTCTAATGGAAGCACAGGATTACAGGGATAGAGGAATTTTTGGTGACCATCTTTGTAGACCATCTATCATGACTCATTATTGTTCTAATTATTGTATTATAACCACCCAACTATTTTCTAGTCAAAGAAGGTATTGTCTCTTACCTGCATTTTTGAAATAGCCTTTTTACTGATATCTCTACTTCTATTTATACCCCTTTCTTTAATATCTTCTTCATAGGCAGTCAGATATATCTTTTAAAACAATTTCTTCTTAGGTTCAGGGGTACATGTCCAGGTTTGTTATATAGGTAAGTTGTTTTTCATAGGGATTTGATGCAAGTAGGCCCCAGTGTCTGTTGTTCCCTTTTTTTGTGTACTCAATATTTATCTCTCACTTATAGGTGAGAACATGAGTGTTTGGTTTTCTGTTCTTGTGTTCATTCACTTAGGATAATGACCTGCAGCTCCATCTATGTTGCTGCAGAGGACACGATCTCATTCTTGTATTATGTGGCTGCGTAATATTCCATGGTGTATGTGTACCACATTTTCTTTGTTCAGTGATATAGATGTGCGTCCTCACCCAAATCTCATACTGAAACGTAATCTCCAATGTTGGAAAGTGGGCCTTGGTGGGAGGTGATTGGATCATGAGGGAGGATTTCTTGTGAATAGTTTAGCACCATCCCTCTTGGTACTGTCCCGATACCGAGTTCTTATGAGGATCATTTGATAGTGTGTAACATCTTCCCTATTGCTCTCTTGCTCCTGCTTTCGCCATGTGAAATGCCTACTCACCCTTTGCCTTCTGCCATAATTGTAGGCTTCCAGAGCCCTCCTTAAAAGCAGATGCCAGTGCTATGCTTCCTGTATAGCCTGTAGAACTGTGAGTCAATTAAACCTCTTTTCTTATAAATTACTCAGTCTCAAGGATTTCTTTATAGCATGTGTGAATGGATTAATATATCTCATCTACTGTTGATTGATTCCATGTCTTTGCTATTGTGTATAGTGCTGCAGTGAACATACACGTGCGTGTGTCTTCATGGTAGAATGATTTATATTCCTATGAATATATACCCAATAATCGGATTGCTGGGTCAAATGATAATTCTGCTTTAAGTTCTTTGAGAAATTGGCAAGCTGCTTTCCACAAGGGCTGAACTAATTTACATTTCCACCAACAGTGTATAAGCAGTCCTTTTTCTCTGCCACCTTGCCTGCATCTGTTATTTTTTGACTTTTAGTAATAGCCATTCTGACTGGTACAAAATGGTTCCTGATTGTGGTTTTGATTTGCATTTCTCTAATGATTAGTGATGTTGAGCATTTTTTTTCATATTCTTGTTGGCTGTGTTATATGTCTTCTTTTGAAAAATGTCTGTTTATGTCTTTTGCCTACTTTTTAATGGGGTTGTTTGTTCTTTTGCTTGTTAATTTGTTTAAGTTCCATATAGTTCTGGATGTTAGATGTTTGTCAGATACATACATAGTTTCCAAACATTTTCTCCCATTCTGTATGTTATCTGTTTACTCTGTTAATAGTTTCTTTTGCTGCACAGAGCTCTTTAGTTCAATTAGGTCCCATTTGTTAATCTTGTTTTTATTGCAATTGCTTTTGGCATCCTGTCATGAAATCTTTGCCAAGTTCTATGTCCAAAAGGGTATTTTCTAAGTTATCTTTCAGGAATTTTATAGTTTTTGGTTTACAGTTAAGTCTTTAATCTATCTTGAGTTGATTTGGTGTCAAAAAAGGGATCCAGTCTAAGGAAGGGATCCTGTTTCAATCCTCTGCATGTGGCCAGGTAGTTATCCTAGCACCGCCTATTAAATAGGAAGTCCTTTCACCATTGTTTGTTTTTATTGACTTCGTTGAATATCAGATGGTTCAGATGATAGTAGGTGTGTGGCATTCTTTCTGGGCTCTCTCTTCGGCACTATTCGTCCATGTGTCTGCCTCTGTACCAGTATCATGCTGTTTTGGTCACTGTAGCCTTGTAGTATAGTTTGAAGTCTGGTATTGTGATGCCTCCAGCTTTCTTTGTTCTTTTTGCTTAGAGTTACTCTGACAATTCAGGCTCTTTTTTTCGGTTCAATATGAATATTAAAATAGCTTTTTGTTCTAATTTTGTGAAGAATGTCATTGGTAGTTTAATAGGACTAGTATTGAATCTATAAATTGTTTTGGGCAGTATGGCTATTTGAACAGTATTGATTCTTACTGTCTCAGAGCATGGAATATTTTTCCGTTTGTTTGTGTCATCTCTTATTTGTTTCTGCATGGTTTTGTAGTTCTCATTGTAGAGATCTTTTACCTCCCTGGTTGGATGTATTACAAGGTATTTTATTCTTTTTGTGGCAATTGTGAATGGCATTGTGTTCTCGATTTTGCTTTTAGCTTGGATGTTGTTGGTGTGTTGAAATGCTACTGAATTTTGTACATTGATTTTGTATACTGAAACTTTGCTGAAGTTGTTTATCAGATCACGAAGCTTTTGGATGGAGACTATTGGGTTTTTTAGAACAGAATCATATCACCTGAAAACTGGTGATATGACTTCCTCTATTTCTATTTGGATGCCTTTTATTTCTTTCTCATGCGTGAATACTCTAGGTGGGACTTCCAGTACTATGTTGAATAGGAGGAGCTAGAGAAGGCATTCTTGTCTTGTTCCAGTTTTCAAGGGGAATGCTTACAGCTTTTGCCCATTTAGGATGATGTTGGCTGTGGATTTATCACAGATAGCTGTTATTATTTTGAAGTATGTTTCTTTAATGCCTTGTTTGTTGAGGGTTTTTAGCATGAATGGATGCCGCATTTTATCAAAAGCCTTTTCTGGACTTGTTGAAATAATCATGTAGTTTTTCTTTTCAGTTCTGTTTTTATGATGAATCACATTTATTGATTTTGTTTATTTTGAACTGACTTTGCATTCCAGGAATAAAACTTACTTGATTGTGTTGGGTTAGCTTTTTGATGTGCATCTGGATTTGGTTTGATAGTATTTTGTTGAGAATTTTTTTTGCATCTATGTTCATCAGAGATATTGGCCTGTTGGTTCTTTTTTTGTTGCATCTTTGCCAGGCTTTGGTATCAGAATGATGCTGGCCCTATAGAATGAGTTAAGGAGTCCCTCCTTCTCAATTTTTGCAAATAGGTTTAGCAGGAATGGTACCAGATCTTTTTACATTTGGTATAATTCAGCTGTGACTCTGTCTGGTCCTCAGCTTTTTCTGGTTGGTAGGCTTTTTATTACTTATTAAAATTTGAAACTCATTATTTGTATGTTCAGGGATTCAGTTTCTTCAGTATTAATCTTGGGAGATTGTATGTTTTTAGGAATTTATACATTTCTTCCAGATTTCCTGCTGTGTGCATAAAGGTATTCATAGTAGTCTCTAAGGTTTTTTGTATTCTGTAGGGTTAGTGGTAGCTTCCCCTTTGTCATTTCTGATTGTCTTTTTTTGGATCTTCTCTCTTTCTTTTCTTGTAGTCTAGCTAGTGGTCTGTCTTGTGTATTCTTTCAAAAAACAAATTCTTGCATTTATTGATCTTTTGTATGGCTTTTTGTATCTCAATTTTTTTCAGTTCAGCTGATTTTTGTTATTTCTTGTTTTGTGCTATTTTTGGGGTTGGTTTGCTCTTATTTCTCTAGTTCCTCTAGGTGTGATGTTAGGTTGTTGATTGAGATCTTTCTTACTTTTTGATGTGGGCATTTAGTAGTGTAAAATTCTCTCTTAAGACGTTTTTTTCTGTGTCACAGTGATTCTGGTATGTTGTTATCATTATTCTCATTAGTTTTAAAGAATTTTTTTTAGTTCTGTCTTAATTTCATTGTATACCCAAATGTCATGCAGGAGTAGGTTGTTTAATTTGCATGTAATTGTGTATTTTTGATCGATTTTCTTAGTATTGATTTCTATTTTTATTGTACTTTGGTCTGAGAGTTGGTATGATTTTTGCTTTTCTTGGTTCTAAAGTTGTATGGTTGATTTTAGAGTATGTGCCATATACAGATGAGAATAATGTACATTCTGTTGTTTTTGAGTTGAAAATTCTGCAAGTGTTTATTAAGTCTATTTGCTCAAATGTCAATTTCAGGTCCTGGATATCTTTGTTACTTTTCTGCCTTGGTGATCTAATACTGTCAGTAGGGAGTTGAAATCTCCACTACTATTGTATGGTTACCTAAGTCTCTTCCTAGGTCTCTAAGGATTTGCCTTATGGAAACTGGGTGCTTCTGTGTTGGATGCATATATATTTAGAATAGTTAGTTTTTTTGTTGAATTGAACACTTTACTATTATGTAACACCGTTCTTTGTCTTTTTTTGTCTTCGTTGGTTTAAAATTAGTTTTTTTTCCCTGAAATTAGAATAGCAACCCCTACCTTTTTTCTGTTTTCCATTTGTTTAGTAGATTTTTCTTCATCCTTTTATTTTGAGCCTATGGTATCATTGCGTTTGAGATGTTCTCTTGAAGAGAGCATACTGTTGGGTCTTGCTTCTTCATCCACTTTGCCATTCTGTGCCTTTTAGTTAGGGTATTTAGTTCATTTACTGTATAAGTTAATATTAATGTGTGTAGATTTGCTCTTGTCATCATGTTGTTAACGGTTATTATGCAGACTTGTTTGTGTGGTTTCTTTATAACGTCAATGGTCTATGTACATAAGTGTGTTTTTTTGTTGGCTGGTAATGGTGTTTCCTATACACATTTTGTACTCCCTTTAGTATCTTCTGTAAGGCATGTCTGGTGGGAAGGAATTCCCTTAGCATTTGCTTCTCTGAAAAATATCTTATTTCTGCTTCACTTATAAAGCTTAGGTTGGGTGGACATGAAATTCTTTATTAGAAATTCTTTCCTTTAAGAATGCTGAATATAGGTCTCCAGTCTCTTCTGACTTGTAGGGTTTCTGCTGAGAAGTTTGCTGTTAGCCTGATCAGTTTCCCTTTGTATTTAATTTGCCCCTTTTCTTTAGCTGCCTTTGACATTTTTTCTTTCATTTCAACCTTGGAGAATTTGATTACTCTGTGTGTTGGCCATGGTCATCTTGTATAGTGTCTTGCAGGGGTTCTTTGCATTTCCTGAGTTTGAATGTTTGTTTCTTCAGCGAGTTTGAGGAAATTTTCATGGATGGTATCCTGAAAAATGCTTTGCAAGTTGTTTACTTTCTCTCTTCTTTCAGGAATGGCACTGTGTTCTAGATTTTGCCTCTTCACATAATTCCATGTTTCTTAGAGGTTTTGTTGATTCTTCTTTAATCTTTTTTCTTTATTTTTTTCTAACTGAGTTATTTTGGAGAATTTGTCTTTGACCACTGAGGATTTTCCTCATTTTGGTCAATTCTGCTGTTAATACTTATGATTGTGTTCTGAAATTCTTGAAGTTAGTTTTTCAGTTCTATCAAATCAGTTTAGTTCTTTCTTAAAATGGCCATTTTGTCTGTCATCTCCTCTATTGTTTTATTGCATTCCTTTGAATCCTTAAGTTGGATTTCTATGTTTTTCTGAATGTCAGTGATCTTCATTTCTACTCATATTTTCAATTATATTTCTTTTATTTCAGCCATTTTAGCCTGTTAATAACTACTGTTGGAGAATGAATGTACTCATTTGTAGCTAAGAAGACACTCTGGGTTTTCAGGTGCTAGAATTTTTTCACTGGTTCTTTCTCATCTGTATGTGCTGTTATTCCTTTAGTCTTTGAAGTTGCTATCCTTTGGATTATTACTATTTTTTTTTTTTTTGCTTTTATCTTCTTTGATGCACTTGGGGGTTTCATTGCGGTATAAGGTGATGTATTAGTTCTTTATCATACTACCAGAAATAACTGCCTGAGACTGGGTAATTTAAGAAGAAAAGAGTTAATTGACTCACAGTTCCACAGGCTTAATAGGAAGCATGAGTGGGAGGTCTCAGGAAACTTACAATTATGGTAGAAGGTGAAGGGGAAGCAAGCATCTTCTTCACATGGAGGCAGAAGAGAGATCATGAAAGGTGAAGTGCAACCCACTTTTAAACCATCAGATCCCATGACAACTCACTCAATATCATGGTAACAGCAAGAGAGAAATCTGTCCCTATGATACAGTTACCTCCCACCATGTCCTCCTTCAACACATGGGGATTACAATTCAACATGAGATTTGGGTGGGGACACAGTTAAACCATATCAGGTGGGCTCAGTCTACTGGGCTCATTTCTGTGTTCTAGGAGTCACTGGGGACGAGAAATAAGTCCTGGTGTATGGTAACCTCTTGCAGCGTTCCCAGCTTCCTTCCACTTTAGTTCAACATTGATATTCTTTATCTGTCTATTTTTAGTGCCTTCCCTTTGAAGATCTACTTAGGATGTGCTAGTCTTCAGTCCTGGTGTGTGGTAACCTCTTGCGGGGTTCCCAGCTTTCTTCCACTTTAGTTCAACATTGATATTCTTTATCTATCTATTTTTAGTGCCTTCCCTTTGAAGATCTACTTAGGATGTGCTAGTCTTCAGTCCTAGTGTGTGGTAACCTCTTGCGGGGTTCCCAGCTTTCTTCCACTTTAGTTCAACATTGATATTCTTTATCTGTCTATTTTTAGTGCCTTCCCTTTGAAGATCTACTTAGGATGTGCTAGTCTTCAGTCCTCGTGTGTGGTAACCTCTTGCGGGGTTCCCAGCTTCCTTCCACTTTAGTTCAACATTGATATTCTTTATCTGTCCATTTTTAGTGCCATCCCTTTGAAGATCTACTTAGGATGTGCTAGTCTTCCTGATGTCCTGGTTTCTCAGTGGCAAATGTTCCATCTGGTTGTGTCTAGTCAGCAATCTTAGCTTTCTATCAATTTATCTTCTTAAAATGTAATCTGACTTAAAAAAGACAATCCAGAAGGAAGATTGTGGATAGAAGGTAGGACTAACTTGTAAACTCGTAGCTCCCAGTTGGACAGACAGAGCAGTGTGGGTAGACCCACACTGTGTACTTTTGTTCCAAGAACTACTGCAGAAACATACCAGGAAAGCCAAGAGAATTCACAGGCACAATGAAGGATGTAGATTACCACTACAGGCTTTGTGGGACAGCCAAGGAACTGTGAGTCAGCTTGCTTTCTCAGCTTGGAGGCCTGTAGACCTGGGTGTGTTCTCAGTCCTGTTCACTGGCTGCCTGGAAATAAACTCAGTGCTTTTGCCGGGGGTGTGGTAGTGGCAGTGGTGGGAGTGAGACTGGCCTTTTGGGCTGTGGCCTGCATGGGAGTGGGGTGAGGTCTGTGGCTGCTGGCTTTCTGCCACTTTTCTGGTGACCTGTGTGACACAGCAAAGACAACCATAATACCCCTGGGAATATAACTCCATTTGCCTGGGAACTACATTCCTGTCTCTCACAGAGCCCACCACAAGCCCCACCCAAGAAGAGGCTGAGCTCAGACATGCCTAACCCTGCCCAAACCTGATGATCTTTCTCTACTTGCCCTGGTAGCTGAAGACAAAGGATATAATCTCTTGGGAGCTCTATGGCTGCACCACTACCTATTTCTTCCTATACAACTGCAGCTGATCTGCTCTTGAAAGCACCACCTTCTAGCTCAGGGCCAACCAACACAGAACCAGCACATTTAACAAAAATACAACCAAGGATCTTCACAGAGTCCACTTTACTACCATGCTACTTCTGCCAGAGTAGGTGCTGGTATTCAAGGCTGGGAGACCTGAAGATGGGTAACATCACAGGACTCTTTGCATTCACTCTCCAGTACCAGCCTGGAGCCCAGTAGCTCTGCTGGATGCATAGATCTAGAAGAGAAACAATACTCACTGCAGCTCAGGTCTCAGGAAGCCACATTCCTAGGGGAAAGGGGAGGCAATAGACTGAAACTATACCCTACAACAAATGGAATTAACAGATATTTTCCAACAACTGCAGAATATACATTCTATTCATCAGCGCATGAAAGATTCTCCAAGGTAGACTATGTGATAGGCCATAAAACAGGTTTGAACAAATATAAGAATATTGAAAATATTGCAGGTATCAGAGGAACATATCTCAAAACAATAAAAGCTATTTATGACAAACCCACAGCCAATATCATACTGAATGGGCAAAAACTGGAAGCATTCCCTTTGAAATCTGGCACTAGACAAGGATGCCCTCTCTCACCACTCCTATTCAATATAGTATTGGAAGTTCTAGCCACAGCAATTAGGCAAGAAAAAAAAAATAGAGGGTGTTCAATTAGGAAAAGAGGAAGTCAAATTGTCTCTATTTGCAGACAACATGATTGTATATTTTGAAGACCCTATCATCTCAGCCTAAAAATCTCCTGAAACTGATCAGCAACTTCAGCGAAGTCTCAGGATACAAAATCAATGTGCAAAAATCACAGGCATTTCTATACGCTAATAACAGACTAACAGAGAGCCAAATAATGCACAACTCCACAATTGGTACAAACAGAATAAAATATCTAGGAATACAACTAACAAAGGATGTAAAGGACCTCTCCAAGGAGAACTGCAAACCACTGCTCAAGGAAATAAAAGAGGACACAAACAGGTGGAAAACATTCTATGCTCATGGTTAGGAAGAATCAATATCTTGAAAATGGTCATACTTCCCAAGTAATTTATAGTTTCAATGCTATCCCCATCAAGCTACCAATGACCTTCTTCACAGAACTGGAAAAAATCACCTTAAACTTTATATGGAACCAAAAGAGAGCCCACATAGCCAAGACAATCCTAAGCATAAAGAACAAAGATGGAGGCATCATGCTACCTGATTTGAAACTATACTACAAGGCTACAGTAATCAAAACAGCATGGTACCAGTACCAAAACAGAGATATAGACTGATAGAACAGAACAGAGGCCCTGGAGGCAACACCACACATCCACAACCATCTGATCCTTGACAAACCTGACAAAAACAAGTAATGGGGAAAGGATTCTCTGTTTGATAAATGGTGTTGGGAAAACTGGCTAGCCACGTGCAGAAAGCAGAAACTGGACCCCTTCCTGATGCCTTACACTAAAATTAACTCCAGATGGATTATAGACTTAAACATAAGACCTAACATCATAAAACCCCTAGAAGAAAACCTAGGCAAAACCATTCAGGACATAGGCATAGGCAACGACTTGATGACTAAAACACCAAAAGCATTGTCATCAAAAGCCAAAATAGACAAATGGGACCTAATTAAACTCCAGGGCTTCTGTACAGCAAAAGAAACAATCATTAGAGTGAACCAGCAACCAACAGAATGGGAAAAAATTTTTGCAATCTATCCATCTGACAAAGGGCTAATATCTTGAATCTGCAAAGACCTAAAACAGATTTACAAGAAAAAAACAAACAAACCCATCAAAAAGAGGGCAAAGGATATGGACACTTTTCAAAAGAAGACATATATGAGGCCAAGAAACATGAAAAAAATGCTCATCGTCACTGACTATTAGAGAAATGCCAATCAAGACCACATTGAGATACCACCTCACGCCAGTTAGAATGGCGATTATTAAAAAATCTGGAGACAACAGATGCTGGAGAGGATGTGGAGAAATAGGAACACTTTTACACTGTTGGTGGGAGTGTAAACTAGTTCAACCATTATGGAAGAGAGTGTGGCAATTCCTCAAGGAACTAGAAATAGAAATTCCATTTGATCCAGCAATCCCATTACTGGGTATATACCCAAAGGATTATAAATCATTGTATTATAAAGACACATGCACATGTATGTTCATAGCGGCACAGTTTATAATAGCAAAGACCTGGAACCAACACAAATGCCCGTCAGCGGTAGACTGGACAAGGAAAATGTGGCACATATACACCATAGAATAGCATACAGCCATAAAAAGTGATGAATTCATGTCCTTTGTAGGGACATGGATGAATCTGGAAACCATAATTCTCAGCAAACTGACACAAGAACAGAAAATCAAACACCACATGTTCTCACTCATAGGCAGGTGATGAACAATGAGAATACATGGACATGAGGGGGTGGAGCATCACACACTGGGGTCTGTTGGGGGGTGCCAAGAGAGGGACAGTGGCAATGTGGGGATGTTGGGGAGGGATAACATGGGGAGAAATGTCAGATGTAGGTGATGGGGGGATGGAGGCAGCAAACCATATTGCCATGTGTTTACCTATGCAACAGTCCCGCATGATCTGCACATGTACCCCAGAACCTAAAGTACAATTGAAAAAAAATGATTTAACCTCTGAAAACTTGTATAATATAGAAGCAGAATAAAAGCAATACCAAAATAGGGCAGAACTAAATGAAATTGAAACAACAACAACAATAAAACAATATAAAAGATAAATGAAACATAAAGCTGGTTATTTGAAAAGATAAATAAAATTAATAGGCAGTTGGTGAGATTAATGAAAAAATGAAGATAGAAGATCCAAATAAGCTCAATTAGAAATGAAACAGTAAGTATTACAACTGATGACACAGAAATACAAAAGATCATTCAAGGCTACTGTGAACATCTTTACTCATGTAAACTAGAAGATCTAGAGGAGATAGATAAATTCCTGGAAATAGAGAACCCTTCTAGACTAAATCAGGAATAAAGAGAAACCCTGAACAGACCAATAACAAGGAGCAAAATTGAAATGCTAATTAAAAAGCTACCAACAATTAAAAGTTTAAGACCAAATGGATTCACAGCGAATTCTATCAGACACTCAAAGAATTGGTACCAATCCTATTGATACTATCCCACAAGATAGAGAGGGATCAATCATTCTATGAAGCTGGTATCACCCTAATGCTAAAACCAGGAAGAGAAATAATAAAAAAATGAAACTAAATACAAAAATCCCTGATTAATCCAGATGCAAAAATCCTCAACAAAATACTAGCTAACAGAGTCCAACAGCATATACAAAAGATAATCCACTATGATCAAATGGGTCTCATATCAGGAATGCAGAGAATGTTTGACATCTGCAAGTCAATAACTATGATATACTACATAAATAGAATTTAAATTTCAATAGACACAGAAAAAGCATTTGACAATATTGAGCATTCCTTTATGATTAAAACCCTCAGCAAAATCGGCATAGAAGGGACACACCTTAAGGTAATAAAAGCCGTCTATGATAAACCCACAGGAAACATTATACTAAACAGGGAAAAGATGAAAGCATTCCCCCTGAGAACTGGAACAAGATCAGGATGCCCACTTTCATCACCTCTACTCAATGTAGTACTCAAAGTCCTAGCCAGAGCAATCAGACCAGAAAAAGAAATAAAGGTATCCAAATTGGTAAAGAGGAAGTCAAACTATCACTATTTGCTGATAACATTATCATACACCTAAAAAACCCTAAGGTTCATCCAAAAAGCTCATAAAACTGGTAAATGAATTCAGCCAAGTTTCAGGATACAAAATTAATGTACACAGATCAGTAGCTCTGCTGTGCACCAACAGTGCTATACAGCAACAGTTAAGCATCAAATCAATAACTCAACCATTTTACAATAGCTTCAAAAAAAAAAAAAAAAAAAAACAAAACATACACACACAAAAAAACCCTTAGGTATATACTTAACTAAGGAAGTGAAAACATCTACAAGGAAAACTACAGAACACTGCTGAAAGAAATCATAGATGATACAACCAAATGGAAACACATCCCGTGCTCATAGATGGGTAGAATATTGTAAAAATGACCATATTGCCAAAGCAATCTACAGATTTAATGCAATTCTCATTAAAATACCACCATCATTCTTTACAGAACTAGGAAAAACTATTCTAAAATTCAACACATGGAACCAAAAATAGCCCACATAGCCAAAACAAGACTAAGGAAAAAGAACAAACATGGAGGCATTACGTTACTTGACTTCAAACTATGCTACAAGGCTATAGTCACCAAACAGCATGGCACTGATATAGAAATAGGCACATAGACCAGTGGAGCAGAATAGAGAACTCAGAAATAAACCCAAATACTTATAGTCAACTGATCTTTGATAAAGCAAACAAAACATAATGTGGGGAAAGGACACCCTATTCAACAAATAATGCTGGGATAACTGGCAAGCCACATGTGAATGAATGAAACTAGATCCTCATCTCTCACCATCTACAAAAATCAGCTCAAAATATATCAAAGACTTAAATCTATGACCTGAAACCCTAAAAATTCTGGAAGATAGCATTGGAAAAACACTCCTAGACATTTGCCTAGACAAAGACTTTATGACCAACAACCGAATAGCAAACAACAGAAACAGAGATAAATAGATGGGACTTAATTAAACTAAAAAGCTTCTGCACGGCAAAAGTAATAATCAGCAGGGAAAACAGACAACTCATAGAATGGGAGAAAATCTTCATGATCTCTACATCTGAGAAAGGACTAATACTCAGAATTTATAAGGAACTCTAATCAGCAAGAAAAAAACAATTTAATAAAAAAGTGGGCAAAGGACATGAAAAGACAGTTCTCCAAAGAAGGTATACAAATGGCCAAGAAACATATGAAAAAATGCTGAGTATCACTAATTGTCAGGGAAATGCAAATCAAAATCACAATGTGACACCACCTTACTCCTGCAAGAATGACTATAATAAAAAAATAAAAAAATGTTAGATATTGGCATGGATGTTGTGAAAAGGGAACAGTTTTCCACTGTTGTTGGGAATGTAAACTAATACAACCACTGTGGAAAACAGTGTGGAGATTACTTTAAACACTTAAGGTAGATCTACCATTTGATCCAGCAGTCCCACTCCTGAGTATCTACTCAGAGGAAATAAATCACTATACGAAAAAGATACTTGCACATGTATGTTTATAGCAGCACAATTTGCAATTGCGAAAATATGAATGAGCCCAAATGTCCATCAATCAATGAGTAGATAAAATGTGACACACACACACACCTCCCATGGAATCCTGTTCAACCGTAAAAAGGAATGAAATAATGGCATTCACAGCCACCTGGATGAAATTGGAGACCATTATTCTAGTGAAGTAACCCAGGAATAGAAACCCAATCTCACTCATAAGTGGCAGCTAAGCTATGAGGACTCAAAAGGTATAAGAATGATAAAATGGACTTTGGGGACTCAGGGAAAAGAGTGGGATGGAGATGAGGGATAAAAGAATACACATTGGGTACAGTGTACACTGCTTGGGTGATAGGTACTCCAAAATCTCAGAAATCACCACTAAAGAACTTATTCATGTAACCAAATTACACCTGTTTTCCAAAAACCTATTGAAAGAAAAAAATGTTAGTAATAATCATTACTGATGATGGTATAGGAATAAAGTTTAAACTGTTGTTTCCCAGTTTTCCAGTCCCTGCACTTAATGTGATCAAATGGAAGTTTATACCTCAGTTTTTAGAGAAAGAAAACCATTTTTTATTAGGTTACAGATGAAAAGATGCCATAAACAAATAATTTTTAAACTTTGTTTCCATGGCACAATACTTTCAAGACTTGGGTCTTCTTCCTTCGAATAGATGTGAGGCCAACAAACATATGAAAAAATGCTCATCATCGCTGGTCATTAGAGAAATGCAAATCAAAACTACACTGAGATACCATCTCATGCCAGTTAGAATGGCGATCATTAAAAAATCTGAAGACAAAAGATGCTGGAGAGGATGTGGAGAAATAGGAACACTTTTACACTGTTGGTGGGCATGTAAATTAGTTCAACCATTGTGGAAGACAGTGTGGCGATTCCTTAAGGACCTAGAAATAGCAATTCCATTTGACCCAGCAATCCCATTACAGGGCATATATCCAAAGGATTATAAATCATTCTACTATAAGGACACATACACACGAATGTTCATTGCAGCACTGTTTACAATAGCAAAGACCTCGAATCAACCCAAATGCCTATCGATGATAGACTGGACAGGGAAAATGTGGTACATATACACCATGGAATATTATGCAGCCATCAAAAATGTTGAGTTCGTGTCCTTTGTAGGGACGTGGATGAACCTGGAAACCATCATTCTCAGCAAACTGACACAAGAGCAGAAAGTCAAACACCACATGTTCTCACTCATAGGTGGATGTTGAACAATGAGATCACATGGACACAGGGAGGGTAGCACTACACACTGGGGTCTGTTGGGGGGAAATGGGGGAGGGATGGGGGGGTGGGGAGGTGGGGAGAGATAGCATGGGGAGAAATGCCGGATATAGGTGAAGGGAGGAAGGCAGCAAATCACACTGCCATGTGTGTACCTATGCAACAATCTTGCATGTTCTTCACATGTACCCCAAAACCTAAAATGCAGTAAAAAAAAAAAAAAGAATAGATGTGATTAGTAAAGATGCTATGGTAGTGCATTTTGTGCTGGGCTGTGGTTCTTTATTGTGCTTGAGAATCACCTGTGGGGCTCGTTAAAAATAGATTCCCATACTCAACAAGATTCTGATTCCCTAGGTCTAAGATAAGAACTGGGGGGGAGGGCTTTGTAATTAATTGTATAATTGATATTTAGGCAGGTTGTCTGTTGGTCACAATTTTGATAAACAGGATGAACATCACAGCATTTTCAATCTTTGCCTAGGTTTGGTTTTCTCAAAGTGTTTTTGCCTTATTTATAATGTCGTAAGTGGAGACCTGCTTTTCAGTGGTTAGTTCTCATAGACTTATTTTGGAGCTTATTTCTAAGTGGCTAAACCTAGCTTTTTAGAAGCAAGGGCCTCATTTGATTGCTCTATGTTATTTTAGTGAAGGAAAGTTCAGTAACATTAGGATTTTTACAAAAAAGCAGAAGAAAAGAAAAAGTATTTCTTGAAGTATTCAAGATTTCATTTGTCCTTTTATGCAAAATAGTCTTCTTAAGTTGAAGTATATTCATTTGTAATTCACATGTAATCTTTTCCCTATGATCCCTAGTAGTGAAACTTATTCAACTTTTGAAAATAGTAGAAAAGTAATTCTGGTTTGTTAGTCACTGATCATTTTGACCATGTTGGCCTATATAGCATTCTCACTTTTTGTGCTCCTTCACTTCCTATGGTTTTAGTTATTTATGGTCAACCACAGTCTGAAAATATTAAATGGAAAAATTCAGAAGTAAACAATTTGATTTAAAATTGCATGCCATTCTGCATAGTGTGATGAAATCTCTCAACTTCTTGCTTTGTCCTGCCTGGTAGGTGAAGCCCATTAGTCACTTAGTAGCTGTTTTGGTTATCAGATTGACTGTTGGGGTATTCCAGTGCTTGTGTTGAAAGCCATTATTTTAACTAATAATGGCTCCAAAGTGCAAGAATAGTGATACTGGCAAGTTGGATACACCAAGGAGAAGTTGTAAAGTGCTTCCTTTGGAAAAGTGAAAGTTATTGACAATAAGGAGAGAAAAAAATTATATGCTGAGGTTGCTAAAATCTGCAGTATGAATCTTCTATCTGTGAAATTATGAACAGTATTTGTTAGAAGTGTTCTATTTTATTATTAATTATTGTTATTAATCTTTCTGTGCCTAAAATATGTTTAACTTTATCATAGATATGTATGTATATATAAAAAAACATAGTGTATATAGGCTTTCGTATTATCCTCAGTTTCAGGCATTCACTGGAAGACTTGGAACGTATCCCTTGTGGATAAGGAAGGACTACTGTATAGGGAGAAGAGGGATACAGCACATCTGTATAGTTCCAGAAAATAGTATAACACTACATATTTGAAGTTATGCTCTCTATATTTCTATATTTACTGCATATTTTGTAGGTTTATATAGCCACAGAATTGTGTAGAAGTTTCTTTTCTTCTGAACTTAACGCACGACAAGTTGATAGATAAAAATAATCTTACATATCATTGCTGAAGTGCATCTTTTCTGTCAGCCAGCAAATGATGGTGTAAATCTGCTCATTTGAGCCAAGGTGACTTGCACTTTTGCATAACATTTTAGAATCTAATCTATTTAAAATAAAAGATACTTCTGTATTAGTTTCTTGTAAATATTTAGTTTCTACAACATTTTTTTCAAACTATTATCAAGTTTAAAAAAATACATAGGATTTACATATTTTAGTATAATTAGAAATGGCTGACCAGGCACAGTGGCTCATGCCTGTAATCCCAGAACTTTGGGAGGCCAAGGCAGGTGAATTGCTTGAGCTCAGTTCAAGTGATCTGAGGGGAACTGAAGACCAACATGGCAAAACCCACCTCTACCAAAAATACAGAAATTAGCCAGGCCTGGTGGTGCATGCCTATGGTTCCCGCTACTCAGGAGGCTGGGGTGGGAGGATTGCTTGAGCATGGGAGGCAGAGGTTGCAGTGAGGTGGGATCACGCCACTGCACTCTAGCCTGGATAACAGAGTGAGACCTCATCTCAAAAAGCAAAATACAAAAACAAAAATAATACTTAGAATTGGCTAATACACTTATTTGGAGCCACATTATTTTTAATAGGAACCCAACATCAAATTCATAATGTAGTCAAAGAAAATGTAGGATTCAATTCATTCGTCCATCCATTTTTCTTGCTATTAACTGAACCCTACTGTATTCCAGATACTCTTCTATACTCTAGAGATATGGCAGTGAGCAAAACAAATAAAATGACCCTGTCTTTCTGGAGCTTACAGTATAGCAGAAAATCATATTCTGGTTAGTAATAAGTGATAAGATTAAAAAAGGCAGAGAAGGGGACATAAATTGTTTGGAGGTGGTGATGAAATTTTAGACTAGGTGGTCTGGAAATGACTCATTGAGAAGGTGACATTGGGTAGTGACCTGATTATAATGAAGGAATAAGCTGCAGAGAACATTTGAAGCAGAGAGACTGCCAAAGGCCTCTGAAGCAGATATATACCTGATCTGTTTGAGGAAGAGATGTAGCAAAGTGAATGAGGGAGAGGGTAGTAGGAGATGAGGTTAGAGAGGTCGTGTGTGTGTGTGTGTGTGTGTGTGTGTGTGTGTGTGTGTGTGTATGTGTGTTTCAGACCATATTAAGGATTTGGTTTGTGTTCTGAGATTGGCAACCACTGGGTGGGTTTGAGAAGGGGAGTGATATAATCTGACTCAGATTGTGGAACAGCTCCTTCACTGGCTCCTATGTCAGCAGATTGAAGATGGATAAGGATGGAAGCAGGGGACAGTTAGGGGACCTTTACAATAGTTCAGGTAAGAGATGGTGGTGCCTTTGATCAGAGTGGTAGTTGTGGAGGTGGAGAGAAGTGGTTGGATTCGAAAATATTATAAAGATAGCAATAACAGGATATAATGATATAACTTCACTATACGTCTAATTTGTAAGCCAGTTAGTCAATTAGTAAATCAAGGAGTAATTCTTTCAGACAAAGAAAAATAGTTTAAGTATGTATGAAATAGAAAATTTGAATCTACCAATTTTTAAATATAAAAGGTACTTTATCAATGTAATTAAATTATTTGATGTATACTTTTAAATAGAAGAACTAGAGAAGTCATTTTTCTTTCTTCATTTTAGTATTTAATCGTGTGAAGAGCTGGATAATTTTTTCTGAGCTTTATCAGTAGAGGGCAGCAAAGTTTCAGGTAGTGTGTTTTCAGGTTCAAGGGCTGTTTGCTAAGGAAATTTTTTCTTTTCTTTCTTTCTTTTTTTTTTTTTTTTGCTGTTCTTAAGTTTGTTCCAGCATGCCTTTTAATGAAGTGCTTTGGTAATATTATATAGGAATTCACTTAAGACCTCTGTGGCTGTGGTTCAGATATTTAGCCAACCCTTCCCTTAGGTGCTATAGATCCTATCTTAATAAGAACATGTATTTCTTTTTGTGATTTAGGGAGTACCAGGGCCTGGAAAATATGACATTAAAAGTCAATTTCAGAAGACAGAAAGTATGACACAAAATGCAAATGATGCATCCCCTGCTTTTCTTTCTCAATCCCAGGTAATGGTCTTTAGCCATTTTCATATATAAAGTCTAATAGGCATAGTGTGAAGCCAGCAACACATTCAATGATGTGTAAAGATTGTAAGAAGAAAAGTAATTTTTTTTTTTTTTTTGAGACGGAGTTTTGCTCTTGTTACCCAGGCTGGAGTGCAATGGCGTGCTTACCGCAACCTCCGCGTCCTGGGTTCAGGGAATTCTCCTGCCTCAGCCTCCGGAGTAGCTGGGATTACAGGCACGCGCCACCATGCCCAGCTAATTTTTTGTATTTTTAGTAGTGACGGGGTTTCACCATGTTGACCAGGATGGTCTTGATCTCTTGACCTCGTAATCCACCCGCCTCGGCCTCCCAAAGTGCTGGGATTACAGGCATAAGCCACCGCGCCCGGCCGAAGAAAAGTGATATTTAAGCAAATTGGAAGTAGACATGGTCTGGGAAAAATATATTGCCAAAACATATGGGTAAAATGAAGTGAAGTAAAATTAGAAATACACAGATGAATATTTTAATGGAAACATCTATTAAACATTTTCTTTTAAGCAAATTTGCATATATTGATGTTCAATTCAGTTTATAATAAATATCTTCTTTAGTCTGTTTTAAAATAACTTTGCCAATGAATGTGTGGAATGTTAACACGTAAACTATATAGGCTTGACTGTGACCTTCATTAGTGATACAACAGTCATAGAATATATTTTGCAGTAACCATTTCACATACTCCCAGGAATATACTAAGAGGACTTGAAGGTATCTAACATATTTGTAAGGTAAGACAATTATAATACTAACAACCTTTATTATGTGGCAGTCTCCAGACCAAAGTGATTGTGATATTTATCCATCTATGGTATGTACAGCTCTGATTATCTTATTTAACTTGGGAAGATTATTAACCTTCAGGTGACTATGGACGACTACTTTGATTTTATGGTATTGTACTTAAAAAGATACCTCCTTGGAGACAAGTAGATAGATTGCAGGTATATTTGGAGATAAAATTAATATGACTTTTTAATGGGATAGATGTTGTAATGAGGGTCTGGGAGGAATCAAGAATGAATGCTAGATTTCTTGCATTGAGCAACTTAATGATACTTAAGGTACTATACGAGATGGATGTGGGGAGGAGAGGATATTTTCTCTGTGTGTATGTGTACGTGTGCACACACCTGGGCTTTCATGTGCATGTATGTTTGCCCTTGATTTTTTAAAAAATACTATTTTTACAAATAAAATCTCAAATTTTATAATATTTCTTTTACTCTGATTTATAGACCTAACTTTACATCACTTGACATCAATCATATTTTAAAATATATTTTTATTACTAGAAAAGAATATGATATCAATTTGACTTAAGGAGATAATGGAGAAAAGAATAATGGCTCTGCAGTAAAAGATAAGGAGGAGTTACAATTAAACAGGATAACCTGCTAGGGGTAGTGTTAATGTTTATTTGAATATGAATAGATACATATTAGTGATTATGATAGAAAAAGAAATAATGCAATTAACAAAGTATATTTAGAACACAAAATTTCTGGTTTGTAGGAATAAAGACAGATACATTTCTGTATTAGATGCTTATTTTAGTCATTGATTTAGGAGTTGCCTGACATTTTACCTAAATACATTGAATTGCCTTATATCTTCAATTATTAATTTTAAATACATAATATTTCCTTTATGACAATGGCTGTTAACCCTGGATGCACATTTAAAACACCAGAGGAATTTAAATTTATTCTGATACCCATATGACAACATGCCCTTTGCTCTTCCTTTCAGATATTGATTCAGTTGGTTCAGAATGGGGCCTAAATAGCAATATATATATTTTAATTCCTCAAGTAATTCTAATATGCATCCATGGTTGAAAATTGTCATTACATAAGCATTATACTTAGCATCTAAAATAATAAGATAGTATTTAGAAAAATAAATTTGAAAGTCCTTTTTGGTACTTCCAGTAATAAATTTTTATTTTGGTAGTGTTAATATTTACCTGCTTTACAAAACTCAAAAGAACATGTTATACTATTTTTTTGCATAAGAAAGATGGAAAAATAGGAAAACATACACATAACTATTTGGCTATATAAACACAACGAAGGTAAACCAGAAAACTATGATGTTAATTACCTACAAGTGATGGTGAGGAGGTAAAGTGCAAGCACTGGCATGTTGCAGTTTATTTGTACTGGCTTGCAAGAGCCAATTGTTAAGTTTCTAGTAGTTTTGCAGGCTGGTTGACATTATGTTGGTAGTGTGAAATTAGCCACTGCTGTGGGTGTATTTACACCATGTAAATCAGCAAACGTTGCAAATTGAGACCTTTTTATCCCAAGTGGCGCAGCATCCCTTGGGGTAGAAGGCAAACAGAGAGAGTAACACTTCTTTGACTACACTTCAAAAAATAAAATAAATCAGTAAGAATGGGAAAAGTTAAAATAAACTGAAAGCAAATGTAAATAAAGAAACAGTTTTATTTTAAATGAATGCCATTAACTACACTGAAGGGAAAAAGAGAAGGAATAATCCAGGTAACCATACTATTTGACTATATCAGTCTTCAATGTGGGCTGGGATTGGAGGGTGAGTGGGCTATGAATGTAGGAATTGGAAACAGGGCAGGTGCGGTGGCTCATGCCTGTAATCCCAAAACTTTGAGAGGCTGAGGTGGGTGGATTACTTGAGGTCAGCAGTTTGAGACAAGCCTGGCCAACATGGCAAAAGCCAGTCTCTACTAAAAATACAAAAATTAGCTGTGCCTAGTGGCAAGCACTTGTAATTCCAGCTACTCAGGAAGCTGAAGCACCAGAATCTTCTGAACCCAGGAGGCAGAGGTTCTAGTGAGTCGAGATTGTGCCACTGCAGTCTAGTCTCTGGGATGGAATGAGACTCTGTCTCAGAAAAAAAAAAAGAATTGGAAACAAATTCTGAATGATTTTTAGTAGGTTGGTTTATTGGGATGGTATGTGAAAAGCAATCATAAAATTATCTTAGATATATTACAAGTTTGAGCAAAAAAATTGATATTCTGAGATATGGTTTTCATTGTTAAGGAAGGTACATACAAATATGGATTGGAGGAGGTGAAAGAGGACCTTGTGGGATACATTTGAATCGAAGGTTTTTATATGAACTCATGATTTTTATTATTATTTTATTTTAGTTTTTTGAGATGGAGTTTTGCTCTTGTTGCCCAGACTGGAGTGCAAAGGCATGATCTCAGCTCACCACAACCTCTGCCTCCCGGGTTCAAATGATTCTCCTGCCTCAGCCTCCCAAGTAGTTGAGATTATAGGCATGCACCACTATGTCCCACTAATTTTGCATAAGAAAGATTGGAAAATAGGAAAACATACACATAACTACGAAGATAAACCAGAAGACAATGATGTTTATTATCTACAAGTGATCACCAACCTCAGGTGATCCACCTGCCTCAGCCTCCCAAAGTGCTGGCATTATAGGCATGAGCCACCATGCCTGGCTGTGAACTCATGATTTTTAATATATATTTATATGTATGAGTATATGCATATATATATATGCACATGTAAATGTATATATGTTCCTGTGGTTATGTATATGGGTATATATGTGTTTCTCTCTCTCTCTGTCTCTCTCTCTCTCATTCTCTGTGTATGTGTGTATGTCCGAGCTCTGTCTGCTAAATGAACCAAGAAGCAAAGATATCCCAGTAGCAAGGGACACATCTAGCACCCAGAACTTGGTCTCCAATTCTATCCTACTGAAAGAAAAAGCATTCTTCAGAGAAATAACTGATTGTAGGGTAGGTGGAAGAGGAAAGTGTAACACCTTATGTCAGAAAGTAAGTTCTAAACGAAATGATGAGAGCATATCACAGTGAGGAAATGCGTTCTCTTTCTGGGTCCACAAGGGGTCGTCGTAATTTTAAGGGCAAGAACTTCCCAGCAAGATGCCCCCTTCCCATCTCTTTCCATCCGGGAGATTTAATGATTTATGTGTAAATTTTGCGGGTGTGGGAAGAAACTAAGGGTCTATCACCCCAGTGGATGTTTAAAGGAACTCCTTTCATTGGCCAGAGGAACTTGGGGAGGTAGGAATTTCTCCCAGGATAAATTCCCCTGCTTCTTTACCCACACTGGATTTCCAGCTCTCTGGAATTCCGTCCCACATAGTGGGAGCTCTCTTTCTCCTCCTGGTTTTCCCCTCTGGGGTCTCCTTCCAGAAATTCACTGTGGAAGCTGTCTTTCCTCTCCTGGATTCCATCTTTTTGGATTCTCTCACACAGTGTGAGGGGAGTTTTCCTTCTCTGGTTTTCTCCCTCTGGGAACCCTTCTCACTCAGTGTGAGAGCAGCTTTTCTTTCTTTCATTCAGCGTGAGAGCTAGCTGTTTCTTTCTCTCCTTCTTTTTCTCTCTGCCTAAATAGATCACTTTTCTGCAACACTTTTGGGGTCTGGTATTTATTTCATGAGTGTACTGCACTGTGGTCTCCTCTCTTACTCTTGAGAGAGTGATAGACCAAGAACCTGGAGAAACATCCTCTCAGGGAAGCTGAGGACTCCCCTGAACTCCTGAACCCCAGCAATAGGGACATAGGAAACAACATGAAGGGCCCCCCACTGGTTCAATAATGAATTATAAATCATTAATGTTGGCATTCTTGAATCAATATGGATAATAAATAAATAAGTACAGTTGACCCCTGAACAATGCAGAGATTAGGGATGCCAACTCTCCATGCATTCAAAAATCTTCATATAATTTTTGACTCCTCCCAAACTTACATTCATATAAGCTGTTGTGGACCAGAGGCCTTACAATAACATAGTCAAGTAACACATATTTTGTATATGTGTTATGCACTGTATAATTACAATAAAGTAAGCTCAAAAAAAGAAAATGTTATTAAAAATCATGAGGAAGAGAAAATATATTTACTATTTATTAAACGGAAGTAAATTACTATAAAGGTCCTGTCATTACATTCAATAGACTAGGAGGAAGAAGAGGAAGTGTTGGTTTTGCTATCTCAGGTGTGGCAGAGACTGAAGAAAATTATATGAGATCCCACATTGTTCAAACCTGTTTGTTCAATAATCAATTATAGATAGGTAAGTAGATAGCTTGACAATGGAATAAATAATTGAAGGGAGATCACTTGCTTACAGTAGAATGCTAAGTACTTACTATAAATATAGAGGCAGTGTTGAATTTGATCAAAATTAAAATTACCAGTGAAGGCCAGCAGACAGACATCATATCTCCAGGTATGATATCCTAAGAAAGCCACGCTCCACCTACCTAGTAGTCTGTCCAGAAATGCATAACCTGGATATAATTATGAGGAAATACCAGATAAACCTCTAGTAAGTAAGGTTCTATTATACAAAAGGGTGATTCTCCCTATATGTTAAAATCATAAAACACAGACCAGGTGTGGTAGCTGACGCATGTAATTGCAGCACTTTGGGAGGCTGAAGCGGATGGATCACCTGAGGTCAGGAGTTTGAAACCAGCCTAGCTAACGTGGCAAACCCCCATCTCTACCAAAGATACAAAATTAGCTGGGCGTGGTGATGCATGCCTGTAATCCCAACTACTTGGGAGGCTGAGGCAGGAGAATCACTTGAACCTGGGAGGTGGAGGTTGCAGTGAGTGAAGATTGTGCCACTGCACTCCAGCCTGGGCAACAAGAGTAAAACTCTGTCTCATAAAAAAAAAAAAAAAGAAAGAAAAAAACATCATGGAACACAAAGGAAGGCTGTGGAAAGGAGATGAAAAAGATATGATGACTAAAGCAATATCTGACTCTAAAGTAGATTATGTACTGAAGGGGAAAATGCAATAGAGACCTTGTTAGATTAGCTGACAAATTTGGAATATGAATCCTAAATTACACGAAAGCATTAGATCATTGATACATTTACTGAAGTTGATAACTGTACTGTGGATATGTAAGAAAATATCTGCATTGTTTCATAAATATATACTGAAGTATTTATGGGTAAAGAGCCATGACATATGTAACTTTCAAAATGTGTGTGTGCGTGTGTGTGTGTGTGTGTGTGTGTGTGTGTGTGTATGCGTGTGTATAGAGTAAGAGAGAAAGAGGAAGAGAAGGACAAATAGACAAAACAGAGTTGGCAAAGAAAAAAAGGCAAATGAGGTAACATGATAATAGATGAATCTGGGTAAAGGTTATACACATATTTTCTGTATCATTTTTATTCATGCATATTCTCTGTAAATTTGAAATTATTTTCAAACAAAAAGTTATAAGGTTATATAATACTGTATCTTGTAAGAGTTCAGTTATAGATATATAACATTTTATATATATATATGTTAATAAGTTTATAAGTTAAACTGAATTGATAAACCACTGAATCTAAGATTTTTTTTGAGATATCTAATGATATTTTTGAGTTAATCGAATATGCATGTTGAGAAATTTTTCAATGAATAAAATTTGATTATATAAAATAAATTGTTAGATCATATAGTTTTAAAATTTATATTAACTGGCAGAATATTTTAAGTATGATAATTATTCCTACAGTATCATCTAGAATCTCATGTTGAGATTATTTCCTTCTAAAAGTCTGTCTGCCTTAGTAAGGCACATAATACATCACTATGTTAGTATATAGGTGATTTTGTTAAAAGCTATGTATTTTATGTTTTGATGGGAACAAGCTACATTTTCTTCACTCCATTAAGAAATAAATTAACTCCAGATGTTATATTACTCAAAAGGCAGGTTTTAACTCATGAAGTATCAAAATGTATTATAGTTGCTTATTAGCATATTTTCCTGTTCTTCCCTAGAGATTTTTACCTATGCAATCAATAACCCCAGCTCCTGGCACATATAACGAACCTCGAACTGCTATCAAGTCCTTGAAGAAAAAATCAGGACTGAAAAATATTCCATTTGGTCAAAGTGCTGTTCGATTCACACAGGACATCAGGACAGAGGAGATGCCAGGTTAGCAATTAATCTATATATGTCTTCTCTTTGGCTTTTTAAAGTAACTTAATGTACTTAACAAGATGGATATACCAGATAGTATGTTTTCTTTATTGTCCTATGTGGTGCTATTTTAAGTCAACATTTTTTTAAAGCATTCACTATATGTTAAACACAGATAAATCAAAATAATGTAAAGTTTTAGTAAGATTTCAGTTTAACATTTTACACATCCTAATTGTAATTTCCTATTGTTTTTCTTTATTTGTTAAATTTTCTGATTTTCTCTTGGCAGATAAACAACATAATATATCAACTATGTGGTCACTATTAGTAATATAATTTGTGATGTTCAGTTTTGTTAATTTTTTTTTATTTCAGAGATGTTCAATCACATATTCTGGTATTGTCAGTGGATATTCTAATGTTCAGAGCCAAGAATATAGAACAAAATAAAATTTAAAATTGCTGACATACCGTTCTGGCTCTCTATTGCTGTGTAATAATCTTAGTGGCTTAAAACAACAGGTTTTTCTATTATATCTCATTATTTTGTGGGATGGCTAGAAGGCAGGACTCAGATGGGTCTGTTATTCACAGTATGTACATAACTCCAAAATGGCTGCCTCAGGGCAGCCTGACTTTTAACATGGTGGCCCAGGGTTCCATGAGACTGACCAGATGCTGCAAGATATTTTATGACCCAGCCACAGGACTCCAAGGACATCGCTTCTTCTGCATTCTGTTAGTTAATTAAGTCACTCAGAGTAGCACATATTGATGCGAAGAACATGAAACTTAATCCCTCAGTGAGAAGAGTAGCAAAGAATTGATGGCCAGTTTTAATCTACTTTATGATCAATTCCCTGGCCACAAAATATTTACAATGGTAACTACATGTACCTATTCCTTCCCAAGGACCCAAAAGTTTCATGTAATTATGTCATAATTTCAAAGCACAGGACCTCTTTAAAAAAAATTTTTTTTTTGAGACATTCATTTCTGTCATTCAGGCTGGAGTGCAGTGGCGTGATCATAGTTCACTGCAGCCTCCAACTCCTGGCTCAAGGTATCACCTGCCTTAGCCTTCTGAGTAGCTGGGACCACGTGTACATGCTACAATGCCTGGCTATTTAAAAAAATTTCGGCCGGGGGCGGTCGCTCACACCTGGAATGCCAACACTTTGGGAGGTTTAGGTGGGAAGATCACAAGGTCAGGAGATCAAGACCAACCTGGCCAACATGGTGAAACCCTGTCTCTACTAAAATACAAAAAGCTGGGCATGGTGGTGTACGCCTGTAATCCCAGCTACTCGGCAGGCTGAGGAAGGGGAATCGCTTTAACCTGGGAGACAGAGCTTGCAATGAGCCAAGATCACACCACTGCACTCCAGCCTGGTGACAGAGCAAGACTCCATCTCAAAATAAATAAATAAATAAAAAATAAAAATTAAATAAAAAAATTGTGGTGATGAGTCCTCACTTTGTGGCCCTGACTGGTCTTTAACTTCTAACCTCAAATGATCTTTCCACCTCGGCTCTCAAAGTATTGGGATTACAAGTATAAACCACAATTCCCAGCCCCGGATTTTGTCATCTAAGTTAGGTATAGGTGCAGATGAGGATTCTTGTGCTTGGTTCTTAAGATACAACCCATTCTCTGTAAGCAGAGCTGTGAACCAAAGAGAGGGTTGATTCATCCACCATACAGTATGAGAGAGAGGATAATCAGATTAGACACTCCTATTCAAGAAGAGGGAAAACTGGAGGCCCACAGCAGTCACAGTGCTGTAGCAATTCTGAAATTCAGGTGGGCACATGTTACACATGTTAGCATTTCCTTGATGAGGATCCAGTAAAGCTCTCCAGGGGAATGATTTTCTGTGTTTCTTGTTCTGCCTTTGGGCTCTTGGTTCTGCTTTCAGTCATCCCTATCCTCTATGAAATAGGCTGTGTTTGCAGCTGGAACTTCTCAGCCAGCTTCTCTCAGCTTCTTTTCATTTTTATTCTCATTGTCCCTTTTATCCCAAGATGGTATGATTCTTATAAAAACTTTGTTTGAGTTACTTATTGTATTAATTTATAATCAAATACACTAGACAAAAGCCACACTTATTACATTTACTTAAAAAAATTTTTTTATAACCTTTGAGGCCGTTATGTATTTTGTATCACCCTTGTCTATTTTGTATTACCTTTGAGGCTATTATGTTTTTAACACAGTTAAGTTCTTAGGGCACCATTGTCTAAGTGAAAAGGGTCTGGGATACCAGACTTTAAGATTTTTTTTCTCTATTTTTAAAAATTATTATACTTTAAGTTCCGGGGTACATGTGCAGACCATGCAGGTTTGTTATGTGCCATGGTGGTTTGGTTTGCATCCATCAACCCGTCATCTACATTAGGTATTTCTCCTAACACTCTCCTTCCCCTTGCCCCTCAGTCCCCAACAGGCCCGGGTGTGTGATGTTCCCCTCCCTGTGCCCATGTGTTCTTACTGTTAAACTCCCACTTATTAGTGAGAACATGCAGTGTTTTGTTTTCTGTTCTTGTGTTAGTTTCCTGAGAATGATATTTTCCAGCTTCATCCATGTCTCTGCAAAGGACATGAACTGATCCTTTTTTATGGCTGCATAGTATTCCATGGTATATATGTGCCACATTTTCTGTATTCAGTCTATCATTGATGGGCATTTGGGTTGATTCCAAGTCTCTGCTATTGTCAACAGTGCTGCAGTAAACATACATCTGCATATGACAAGACCTTAAGATTCTTAAGGCCCCTTTTTGAAAGGTTTTATGAAGGATTACCACAAATATTTTAAAAAATTAAACAAAAGGTCTTACAGCCAAATGCTGCTTTTCATCTTTGCCTTGAGGCTACTTCTTACTTTGAGAGATGTTTATTGTCTGTATAGATTGGGGATGAAAAACAGTTTTATTTTCAAATCTGGCAAATTCTATTTCTTTTTTATTTCCTAAATATTCTCCTTGAAAAGTTAACACTTTATTACTTTTCACTTATTTATTTATTTTTAAGTTCAAGGGTACATATATAGGATTGTCATCTAGGTAAATTTGTGTCATGGGGTTTTCTTTTAGATTATTTCATCACCAGATATTAATCCTAGTACCCATTAGTTTATTTTCCTGATTCTATCTCTCCTCCCACCCTACACCATTGGTAGGCCCCATTGTCTGTGGTTTCTTTCTATATGTTTTCATTTTTCTGTTTCCACTTATAAGTACAAACATGTGGTATTTGGCTGTATGTTTCTGTTTTAGTTTGCTGAGGATAATGGCCTGTAGCTCCATCCATGTCTCTGTATAAGACATGATCTCATTCTTTTTTCATGGCTGTATAGTATTTCACGGTATATATGTACCACCTTTATCTAGTCTACCACTGATTGGCATTTAAATTGATTCCATGTCTTTACTCTTGTGAATAGTGTCGCAATGAACATATGTGTGCCTGTGTCATTATAATAGAATAGTTTATATTCCTTTGGGTATATACCCAGTAATGGAGTTGCTGGATGAAATGGTAATTCTAGAAAACTGAGCAGTTTAAACTCTTTTCCTTCTATCTTTACCTTCTCACACATGGATAAAAGGAACTGCTGGCACTTTGACATTCTACCTGGAAATTTCCTTAGTTAGAATTCAGCCATTATTTAGATATTTTCTTCATTACCTCAAGCATTAGTGTTGCTAAAATTTCTGCCATTGCATAATACAAGTTATCATTTTTCCATCCTTTAATAACATTTTCCTCACTGTCTTTCAAGTCATCACCAACAGTCTCCTCAAGGCCTTTATTCTAAATCTTCAAGTTGCTCTAGTTTCTGACCTATTGCCTGATTCTAAAACCACTGCCACAAATTTTAGAGTTTGGTTATAGTAATATACTTGGTACAATTGTTTGCTACGAATTCCATGGAGAGATTAAGTTTTGCTCTTCTTCCCTTCAGTCATGACTACTCCTGGTGCTTTCTTGACCAATGCATAGAGTGGAAGTGATATTCTAGCACTTCCTAGACAAAGTCATATGCTTTACAGATAGACTTGGGCATCTTGAAACAATTGGTCTTGGAGCCCTGAGCCTCTATGTTGAAGTATGACTAAACTGAGTAGTGTTTGTCATTGCAAACTTGAAATAATCAGAAGGATCAGAATCCAGTTTAAGAAAGTTTATTCAAGTACAAAGATTAGAATAGCTATTCAAGTAACACAGACTCCAAAGGAATAGGGCCAGTGCTCCAAAGGTGAAAAGTTAAAGTCTTGTTTTTATAGTCAGAAAATAAAGAAATTTAATAGGATTATAGCATTTTTCATACAAGGCTGGTTTATGAGTTATAGCAATTTGATTAGTTATAGCAGTTTAGCTATAACTGTTTTCCTTTTCCAATTTGAAAGACTGCATTTAATATTCCATCTTAGACAATGTGATAGTCGTGAAATCTTTGTGTCAGAGAAGTAAAAGGGAAGTTAAGCTATAATGAAGATCAGTAGGGAAGAGGCAAGAGGTCTTCTCTGGCACTTTTTAGTCTTCTACGTATTTTAGAAAACAATGTGGGTAAAGAAAAGTTTAATCTATAATCAGAAGAACAAAGGTTACAGCTGCCCGTCATGTGATTCAGGTTGCATAAGCACATTCCTTTAAGGCTCAAAATAATTTAAAGTCCCAACAGCTTTGATTTTGTGTTACTTATTTATATATCATAAATCTGAAATCTAAATTATTTCTAAATATTAACTTATGGAGTGGCCCAGTTGCCCTAAGAGTGGGTCTTACTGTCAATTTGATGGTCTAGTATATTACAAATAAAATATTATGCATTCTTCAAAGTTAGTTTATTTATAAAGGGAAAGTTAAGAATAACCTCTAAAATATAATCTAGAATCTTATGTTTTAAGGATTAGCAAGAATGGTCTTCATGGAAATTTGATTTCATGTAATTATTAGAGTACAGTAATGAAATGGACTTGTAAAACATTCATAGAGCAGATTTGACCACCGAATGTGGAGCTCCAAAATGTTTGCAAGTTACTATTATAAGGCACCCCTAAACCTTTTAACTGTCCCATAGCAGATCTGATCTGGGGTTCCTGGACATTTCTACACTTAATGATTCTGAGATAAATGTAAGAAAGTTCTAATATGAGTGAACCATATGATCAGAACGGCTTTTTAAGTCAGAAGCTTAAGAAGGTAGTACCTGATATGTGTATGTATGAGGTCTCTATCCCTGAGGATGCTATATTAAGTATTTAAGCTCACCTGCAAAGTGCTATGTAATGCTCTTGAGCCAGAAGGGAGAGAGATTTGACATAGTTGCTTGTTTTTTATATACCTTAAATGGTGGCTCAAAGAGTTTTCATTATACTTTCTGTTTATCTTTTTCCTAAACATCACCACTGGAAGAATGTTGAAAGGCAGCAGGAATAGTATATATTAGCACTTAGGTTTTCTGAGAGTTGGCACAACAGAATTTTGGTAGATATTTTTAGGGAATAGACTAGGACTCGAATATTTGAAAAATTAGGGAGAGTTTGTTTACATTTTGAGAGAAATCTTATATATGTCAGAAGTATGAAGGATATTTCTATGTAGGAAGATTTAATCACTTTTAAATCTGGAAAAAACCAAAGTAACATCTAATCTAGTACTACCCAGTGACATTCCTTTGTCAACTGTTTCCTGCCTATGGTGAGAAAAAAGATTGTACCAGAACATAAATCAACACAATACACTCTTCATTCAGAAGGACTAGTTATAAAATGCTTAGTGAAATAGTAAATTTACATTTAGTTGTAAACTCCTTATCTTGTAGATTGTTCTTGAACAGATATTGATCTAATCAATTCCTATTATTTTTAGATGACGAAGTTGAAGCCCAGAAAAACAAATGAGATTTCAGTAAAGTTTCATATGTATTTAGTGGCAGGACTAATTTAGTAGAATGCAGATAACATGAGTACAATGAAGTTAAGTGTTCTTTAAGTATATTATATTGCATCTAATGGATATTGCTGCTCACTAGAACTGATTTTATAAAGAACACACTCAAATAGTTGTTTTAAGTATATGACTGTCTTGTTAAAAATTTTTCAACAGCATAGAAAGTTGTATTATTTTGAATGAAAGATATATGAACCTAAATTCACTCAGACTACCACTGTGGAAAATATTCCAGGTTTTGAATATGCGCAGAAAAATAAAAAGCAAAAATTAAAATAACGTTTGTGGCAGGGAGGTCTAATGATAGGATATATTAATTTTTTGGTCAAATTTATCTTAATGATGCCGTATGATTCTTTGAAAGCTTTAGTATTGAGATTTATTTATTTATTTCTTCTTTATTTATGTATACTTTATACATAATATTAATCATTTAAATATATAATTTGATGAGTTTTGGTAGATATGTAGTCAGGCAATCACAACTACAACAATATTTTGGAGCACTTTAATCATTCCTAAAGTTTTCTCATGTTCCTTTGCAGTTAATCTCTACTCCCACTCTTGCCCTAGGCAACTGTTTCTGCTGCTATGATTTTAACCATTTCTAAATTTACATATAAATGGCATTATACATTATTCAACCTTTAGAGTCTGCCTTTTTTTACTTATCATATTTTAGAGATTCATTTATTTATTGCTGAGTAGTATTCCATGGTTTGGGTGTAGCACATTGTGTTTACTTATTAATCAAGTGATGGACACTTGGGTTCTTTTCATTTGGGAAAATACCTAGAAATAGAATTTCTGGTCATATGACAAGTGTGTTAGTCTGTTGTCATGCTGCTGATAAAGATGTACCTAAGACTAGGTAATTTACAAAAGAAAGAGGTTTAGTGAACTCACAGTTCCATGTGGCTTGGAAGGCCTCACAATCATGGCAGAAGGTGAAAGGCACAACTCACATGGCAGCAGACAAGAGAAGAGAGCTTGTGCAGGGAAATTCCTGTTTTTAAAACCATCAGATTTTGTGAGATTTATTCACTATCATGAGAACAACATGAGAAATACCCACTCCCTTGATTCAATTGCCTCCCACCAGGTTCTTTCCAAACAAATAATAATTGTGAGAGGTACAATTAAAGATGAAATTTGAGTGGGGACAGAGCCAAACCATATCATTCCACCCCAGGCCCCTCCCAAATCTCATGTCCTCACATTTCAAAACCAATCATGCCTTCCCAACAGTCCCCAAAGTCTTAACTCCTTTCAGCATTAACTCAGAAGTCCACAGTCCAAAGTATCATCTGAGACAAGGCAAGTCCCTTTCACCTATGAGCCAGTAAAATCAAAAGCAAATTAGTTACTTCCTAGATACAGTGGAGGTACAGGCCTTGGGTAAACACACCCATTCCAAATGGGAGAAATAGAGTGAAACAAAGAGGCTACAGGCCCCATGCAAGTCTGAAATCCAGAGGGGCTGTCAAATTTTAAAGCTCCAAAGTAATCTCCTTTGACTCCTTGTCTCACATCCATGTCATGCTGATGCAAGAGATAGGTTCCCACAGTCTTGGGAAGCTCCATCCCTGAGGCTTTGTAGGATACAGCCTCCTTCCTGGCTGCTTTCATGGGCTGGTGTTTTGTCTGTAGCTTTTCCAGGCACATGGTGCAAGCTGTCAGTGGATCTACCATTCTGGGGTCTGGAATATAGTGGCCCTCTTCTCATAGCTCCACTAGGTGGTACCCTAATAGGGACTCTGAGTGACAGCTCTGACCCCACATTTCCTTTCTGCACTGCCCTAGCAGAGGTTCTCCATAAGGGCCCCACTCCTGAAGCAAACTTCTGCCTCAACATCCAGGTGTTTCCATACATAGCTGCCAAGGTTTGGGGCTTGCACCCTCTGAAACCCTGGCCTGAGCTCTATGTTGGCTTCTTTCAGCAATGTCTGGAGTGGCTGGGATGCAGGGCACCAAGTCCCTAGGCCTAGGCTGCACACAGTGCCAGGACCCTGGGCCCAGTCCATGAAACCATTTTTTCCTCCTAGGCTTCTGGACCTGTAATGGGAGGGATTGCCATGAATACATTTGACATATCCTAGAGACATTTTTTTCATTATCTTGGGGATTAACATTGGGTCCCTCATTACTTATGCAAATTTTTGAATTTCTCCTCAGAAAATGTTTTTTTCTTTTCTATCACATTGTCAGGCTGCAAATTTTGTGAACTTTTATGCTCTGCTTCCCTTATAAAACAGAATGCCTCAAACAGCACCCAAGTCACCTCTTGAATGCTTTGCTGCTTAGAAATTTCTTCTGCCATATACCCTAAATCATGTTTTTCAAGTTCAAAGTTTCACAAATCTCTAAGACAGGGGAAAAATGCCACCAGTCTGTTTGCAAAAATATAACAAAAGTCACTTTTGCTTCTGTTTCCAACAAGTTTCTTATCTCCATCTGAGGCCACCCCAGCCTGGACTTTATTGTGCATATCACTATCAACATTTTGGTCAAAGACATTCAACAAGTCTCTAGGAAGCTCCAAACTTTCTCATGTTTTTCTGTCTTCTTCTGAGCCCTGTAAACTGTTCCAACCCCTGCATGTTACCCAGTTCCAAAGTTGCTTCCACATTTTTGGGAATGTAGAGCAGTGCCCCGCTCTACTGGTACCAGTTTACTATATTAGCCTGTTTTCATGCTACTAATAAAGGCATACCTAAGACTGGGCAATTTACAACAGAAAGAGGTTTAATGGTCTTATAGTTCCACATGATTGGGAAGGCCTCACAATCATGGCAGCAGGTGAAAGTCATGTCTGATGTGGCAGCAGACAACTCCTTGTTTTAAGACCATCAGCTTTCATGATATTTATTCATCATCACAAGAACAGCACAACAAAATTCCTTCCTCTTGATTCAATTACCTCCCAATAGGTTCCTCCCATGACACATGGGAATTGTGGGAATTACAATTCAGGATGAGATTTGTGTGGGGACACAGCCAAATTATATCAGCAAGTATATGTTCACTTTATAAGAATTCAACAAAATTTAAAAATGTGACTATACCACTTTGCATTTATGCCAGCAATATGTAATTTTTTTCTAAAAAAAAAAACTTAATTAAAAATTAGTTTAAAAGGTGCAAATAAAAGCATGCTTTTTCTTATATATGATATTTTAAAATAATTTTAGGTCCTGGGTTTTATAATGTCCTGAACAATACTATAATTGCCAATATTAGAAATATCTGCTCGAAGAAACAGAAGAAATGTGCATTTGGTTCTTCTGTTCCTCGGACTTTCTTCTTGGTTCAGAAAGAAGCTTGTGTTACCCCTGGGCCTGCTGATTATCAGGTAATACATTCATACCAAACTAATATTCTTTATGTTGAATATCAAGCTCTTAGGTTTCTCTTGAATTTACATGTTATAACTAATAGAAAAAGATGTCAAACAATCATTATAACAATATTCCATATGTTAAGGAAAGTAGGAGAAGTATTGAACATATTAAACATAGAGAAATGGCAGAAATATAAAGACACAAATTGAATTTCTAGAGATGAAAAATATAGTGTTTGAAAAAATATGCTCTGAGGATGTGTTCACAGGAAGGTGGTCAGAATGGCGAAGGTGCACAAGTTTCAACCATGTCACCCAAAGAACATTTTAAAAAAGTGAAGATGTTTAATACAGAGCAGGAAAGACTTACAGAGAATGAACTAGACATTGGTTTTAAAATGGAAAGCTTTCTAATATGGAGAAAGTTCTGTGTGACATATGGAATTCTATCAAGACCAATAGGTGAAAACTATAGGGTTTCATGTTTCAGTTCAGTGAAAGTAATAACTGAATTTTTTGTATTACAGTTTTAAGATGTATAGTATGATTTTAAGAGAACAATAGCAGGAACAATGAAAAACCAGAAAATATATGCATAACAATTTAAAGGTGGAAATTGTTACATAACTACATTGAAATCGGCTGCCCTTAATTGCAGATACATGAATTCTTATGTGTTTTATTATATATAAAATTTATATTTGTGGGATTAATTCTTATAATTTATACATGAATTTTTCTCAGGTTTCTAATGTTTATTTAAACTTATTTTTCTGAGGGTTGTTTTCTATGTATATGTGCTCAAAGAAGTTTATTTTCTGTGTAAACATCTATTTTAATTCTTTTTTTTAATCATTAAGAGACAATTCTCTGTGTGTTTTGTGTTTCTACACACCTTTGCTTGGACCTCCTTTTTGCAGATGATTGTGCAGCAAACAGCCTTCAAAGATACAATGTCTCCCTCCTAAGCAGAGGGAGTGCTTAGCCCTCTTTATAAAAGATTCAGGTTCCCAGAGCTCACAGTTTTTCTCCCATAACAAAGCCCACTTTGTGTGCAGGTGTTTGTTTTGCCCCATCAGCCTTGTCCCCAGTAGGACTTTAGGGCAAGGAGGACGGATGCAAATGTGCTGTTGTCATGCTGTTTGTTAAGCCATGAGTAATAAAGTTCTTTGTCTCTGACTCAAAGTTTTGCACTTTTCTGTGAAGCTGTGGCAGGTTAACTTACTAGGTTGAAGTAGGGCAAAATTTCAGACCCATCATAGTCCTTCCTATTTACATATTATTAACTTATAGACATTTTTATTTTGTTATATTTTGCTCCCACAGGTCCCAGTATTGCATCTGACAGCCTCCTCAAAACGGCCCTCTAGTTTCTGTCAATTTAATTTATATTTCATTAAATTTACAAGTTCATTATTAAATTGCAATTGTAAGAACAAGTTTAACATACCTACATGTACTCTCAAGTCATTTTTTTAGCTTACTAGATTTCTAGACTTTCAGTTTTTGAGTTTCTATCATCAACCTTTGATATTTGTCTTCAATTTCTATTGTTCATTTAGTCTGATAATCCATCTATCTATCTATCTATCTATCTACCTATCTGATCTCCGCGTGTGTGTGTGTGTTTCAAATATATATATATATATATATATATATATATTTGAAAGAGGGTCCCACTCTGTTGCCCAGGCTGGAGTGCAATGGTGTGGTTATGGCTCACTGCACCCTTGCCCTTCTGGGTTCAAGTGATCCTCCTGCCTCATCCTTCTGTGTGGCTAGGACCACAGGTACAAGCCATCACACCTGGCTATTTAACAATTTTTTTTTGTAGAGATAAGGTCTCACTGTATTGCCCAGGCTGATCTTGAACTCCTGGACTCAAGTGATCCCCTGCCTCAACCTTCTGAAGCATTGGTGTTACAGAGTGAGTCACCACACCCAGTATATATTTTTAACTGTGATAAAAAAACAAATAATATTAAATTTATTATCTTAATTATTTTAAGTGCTGTTATAAGTATATTTTAAATGCATCATGAATGTTAGCAGTTTTTAGAATATTTCTGCTCTATTTTGTTTAAAATGTACTAACAGTTCATTATTCTTAGTAACCTAACATTTAGATAAAAAGAATTACGGTATTTATTCCTCACTGTAGATATTGATAAGTCAAGCATAGTGATTACTAGCATGATCTCTGGACTCAGAGTGCTTGAATATACTTTTTTGCTCTGCAACTGATCTTGTGCAAGTTATTTTAACTCTTTATGCTTAGTAAAATGAAGATAATTATAGTACATACCCAAAAGTGTTATTGCAAATACTAAGTGAATCAAAAAATTCTTTGAATGTCTTATGGCACATAGTATGGACTCAGTAAATTTTTTATTCTTGTTGACAATCTAAAACTACCTATAGGTATAACTCAGACTCAGTTTATAGAATATTTGACAAACTAAAATCAAGAGTGTAATATAGATCCTAAACATGTCCGATTTAAAAAAAATCAGTCTGGTAAACCTTTTGTTTAATTGTAGTATCAATTGATTTATGTTTAATTTGGTTATCAACATGTTTGTGTTTGCCTACATTACACTATTTTATATATTGTATTGGTCCAATTGTTTTGCCACTTAATTTATTTTTTTATTTCCATAGGTTATTGGGGAACAGGTCATGTTGGGTTACATGAATAAATTCTTTAATGGGGATTTGTGAGGTTTTGGTGCACCCATTATCTGAGCAGTATACACTGCACCATGTTTGTAATCTTTTACCTCTTACCCCCTTCCACACATTCCCCCTCAGTTCTCAAAGTCCATTGTGTCATTCTTACGCCTTTGCTTCCTCATAGCTTAGTCCCATATATGAGTGTGAACATAAGATGTTTGGTTTTCCATTCCTGAGTTACTTCACTAAGAATAATTGTCTCCAATCTCATCCAGGTTTTCTGTGAATGCCATTAATTCATTTCTTTTTACGGCTGAGTAGTATTCCATTGTGTGTGCGTGTACACACACACACACACACACACACACACACACAATATTCCATTGTGTGTGTATATATATATACACAATATTCCATTTTGTGTGTGTGTGTATATACATGTGTGTGTGTATACACACCCCACAGTTTCTTTATGCACTCATTGGCTCATGGGCATTTGGGTTGGTTCTACATTTTTTCAATTGTGAATTGTGCTGTTATAAACATGTGTGTCTAACTATCTTTTTTGTATAATGACTTCTTTTCCTCTGGGTAGATAACCAGTAGTGGGATTGCTAGATCAAATGGTAATTCTACTTTAAGTTTTTAATGGAATCTCCACACTGTTTTTCATAGTGGTTATACTAGTTTACATTCCAACCAGCAGTGTAGAAGTGTTCCCTTTTCACTGCCTACATGCCAAGATCTATTACTTTTGGATTTTTTTATTATGGCCATTCTTGCAAGTGTAAGGTGATATTGCATTGTGAAGTTCAGCATTTTTTCATATGTTCATTGGTCACTTGTGTATCTTCATTTGAGAATCGTATATTCATGTCCTTAGCCCACTTTTTGATGGGATTGTTTGTTTTTTTGCTAATTTGTTTGAGTTTGTTGTAGATTCTAGATATTAGTCCTTTGTTAGATGTGTAGATTGTGAAGATTTTCTCCCACTCTGTGGGTTGTTTGTTTACTCTGCTGACTGTTCCCTTTGCCGTGCCACAGCTCTTTAGTTTAATTAAGTCCCAGTTATTTATCTTTGTTTATTTATTTATTTATTTTTGCATTTGCATTTATGTTGGGTTTTTGGTCATGAAATAGTTGCCTAAGCCAATGTCTAGAAGAGTTTTTTTTTTTTTTTTTTTTTTTTTTAACAGATGTTATCTTCTAGAATTTTTACAGTTTCACATCTTAGTTTTAAGTCGTTGACCCATCTTGAGTTGATTTTTGTATAAGGTGAGAGCTGAGGATCCAGTTTTATTCTCCTACATGTGGCTCCCAGTTATCCTAGCACTGTTTGTTGAGTGGGGTTTTTTTTTTTTCTACTTTATGTTTTTGTTTGCTTTGTTGCACAACCATTGACTGTAATTATTTGGGTTTATTTCTGGGTTCTCTATTTTGTTCCATTGGTCTATGTGCCTATATTTATACCAGTACCATGCTGTTTTGGTGACTATGGCCTTATAATGTAGTTTGAATTCAGGTAATGTGCTGCCTCCAGATTTGTTATTTTTGCTTGGTCTTGCTTTGGCTATGTGGGCTCTTCTTTGATTTTATATAAATTTTAGGACTTTTTTTTTTTTTTAGTTCTTTGAGAGTGATAATGTTATTTTATTGGAATTGCATTGAATTTGTAGATTGCTTTTGGCAGTATGGTAATTTTCACAATATTGATTGTACCCATCCATGAGTATGGGATGTGTTTCCATTTGCTTTTTGTTGTCTGTGATTTCTTTCAGCAGTGTTTTGCAGTTTTCCTTGTAGAGGTCTTTCACCTCCTTAGTTAGGTATATTCCTAAGTATTTCATTTTTCTTGCAGCTATTGTAAAGGGGTTAAGTTCTTGATTTGATTCTCCGCTTGTCATTGTTGGTGTATAGGACAGCTACTGATTTATGTACATTAATTTTGTATCTGGAAATTTTGCTGAAGTCTTTTATCAGTTCTAGGAAATTTTTGGAGGAGTGTTTATGGTTTTCTAGGTATAAAGTTATATAATCAGCAAACAGTGACAGTTTTACTTTCTCTTTACCAATTTGCATGCCCTTTATTTCTTTCTCTTATCTGATTGCTCTGGCTAGGACTTCCAGTACTATGTTGGATAGAAGTGGTGAGAGTAGGCATCTTTGTTTTTTTCCAGTTCTCAGAGCTAATGCTTTCAACTTTTCCCCATTCTGTGTTATGTTGGTTGTGGTTTGTCATAGATGACTTTTATTACATTGAGCTATGTCCCTTGTATGCCGATTTTGCTGAGAGTTTTAATAATAAAGTGACGTTGGATTTTGTCAAATGCTTTTTCTGCTACTATTGAGATAATCATGTGATTTTTGTTTTTAATTCTGTTAATGTGATGTACTACATTTATTGACTTGTGTATGTTAAACCATCCCTGCATTACTGGTGTGAAACCCACTTGATCATGATAGATTATCTTAGATTATCTTTTTGATGTGTTGTTGGATTCATTTTCCAAGTATTTTGTTAAGGATTTTTGCATCTATGTTCATCAGGGATATCAATCTGTAGTTTTCTTTTTTTGTTATATCCTTTCCTTGTTTTGGTATTAGGGTGATACCGGTTTTATGGAATGATTTAGAGATGTTTCCCTCTTTATCTTTTGGAATAGTGTCAAAAGGATTGGTCCATTTCTTCTTGAATGTCTGGTAGAATTCAGCTGTGAATCCGTCTGATCCTGGACTTTTTTTTTGTTGGTAATTTTTTATTACCATTTCAATGTTGCTGCTTGTTATTGGTTTGTTCAGGGTATCTGATTCTTTCTGATTTAAGCTAGGTTGGTTATATCTTTCCAGGAATTTATCTGTCTCCTCTAGGTATTCTAGTTTTTGTGTGTAAAGGTGTTCGTAGTAGCCTTGAATGATTTTTTGTATTTTTGTAGTGTCAGTTGTAATATCTCTTGTTTTGTTTCTAATTGAGCTTATTTGGATTTTCTCTCCTCTTTTCTTGGTTAATCCTGCTAATGGTCTGTCAATTTTATTTATCTTTTTGCTTTTTGTTTTATTTATCCTCTGTATTGTTTTGTTTCAATTTCATTTAGTTCTGCTCTGATCTTGGTTATTTCCTTTGTTTTGCTGGGTTTGGGTTTGGTTTGTTCTTGTTTCTCTAGTTCTTTGAGGTGTGACCTTAGATTGTCTCTTTGTGTTCTTTTAGACTTTTTGACGTAGGCATTTAAAGGTATGAATTTTCCTCTTAGCACTGCCTTTGCTGTATCCCAAAGTTTTGACAGGTTCTTTGTTGACTCTTGATGACCTGTCTAGTGCTGTCAGTGAAGTATCAAAGTCCCCCACTATTACTGTGTTGCTGTCTATCTCATTTCTTAGGTCTAGTAGTGTTAGATACATGTATGTTTAGGAATGTCATCATTTTCTGTTGGACAAGTCCTTTTATAATTATATAATGTTTTTTGCCTTTTTAAACTGCTGCTGCTTTAAAGTTTGTTTTGTCTGATATAAGAAGAGCTACTTCTACTGGCTTTGGGTGTCCATTTGCATGGAATGTCTTTCTTCCAGCCCCTCTTTACGTTAAGTTTGTATGAGTTTTTATATGTTAGGTGAGTCTTTTGAAGGAAGCAGATAGTTGGCTGGTAAATTCTTATTCCTCCTGCAATTCTGTATTTTTTTAAGGAGAGCATTTAGGCAATGTACATTGAATGTTATTATTGAGATGTGACGTACTAGTCCATTCATCATGCTATTTGTTGCCTATATACCTTGGTTCATTCATTCCTTTCTCCTCTCCTCTCCTCTTTCTTTTCTTTTCTTTTTTTCTTCTTTTTTGAGACACAGCCTCACTCTGTTGCCCAGGCTGGAGTGCAGTGGCACAATCTCAGCTCACTGTAACCTCTGCCTTCCAGGTTCAAGCAATTCTCATGCCTCAGCCTTTCAAGTCGCTGGGATTATGGGCACACACCACCATGCCCTGCTAATTTTTGTGTTTTTAGTAGAGACAGGGTTTTGCCACATTGGCTATGCTGGTGTCAACTCCTGACCTCAAGTGATCTGTTTCCCTCAGCCTCCCACAGTTCTGGGATTACAGGTGTGAGCTACTGTGATTGTTTTTTGTTTTTAATTGTATTTTTGTTTTTCAGGCCTTGTGAGATTTATGGTTTAAAGAGGCTGTGTTTTGATGTGTTTCTGGGATTTAAGAGTTAGGGCTCCTTTTAGCAGTTCTTATAGTACTGGCCTGGTAGTGGCAAATTCTCTCAGCATTTGTTTGTCTGAAAAAGGTTGTATGTTTTCTTCATTTCTGAAGCTCAGTTTCACTGAATACAAAATTCTTGGCTGATAATTGTTTTGTTTAAGGAGGCTGAAGATAGGGCCCCAATTTCTTCTAGCTTATAGGATTTCTGCTGAGTAATCTGCTATTAATCTGATAGGTTTTCCCTTACAGGTTACCTGATGCTTCTGCCTCACAGCTCTTAAGATTGTTTCCTTGTGTTAACTTTAGATAACTTGATGGTAGTGTCCCTAGGCAATGATCTTTTGAGATGAATTTCCCAGTTGTTTTTTGAGCTTCTTGTATTTGGATGTCTAGGTTATTAGCAAGGCTGGTGAAGTTTTCCTCAATTATTTCCCCAAATATGTTTTCCAAACTAGATTTCTTTTTCCTTAGGAATGCCTATTCTTAGGTTTGGTCGTTTAACATAATTCCAGACTTCTTGTAGGCTTTGTTCATATTATTTTTCTTTCTTTCTTTGATTGGATTAATTCAAAAACTTTTTCTTCAAGCGCTGAAGTTCCTTCTGCTTGTTCCATTCTATTGCTGAGACTTTCCAGAGCATTTTACATTTCTATTAGTGTGTCCATTGTTTCCTGAAGTTTTGATTGTTTTTTATTTATGCTATTTATTTCATTGAATATTTCTTCCCTTGTTTCTTCTTCTTCTTCTTCTTTTTATTGAAATGGAGTCTCGCTCTGTTACCCAGGCTGGAGTGCAGTGACACAATCTTGGCTCACTGTAGCCTCCCCTCCTAGGATCAAGCAATTCTCTTACCTCAGCCTCCTGAGAAGCTGGGACTACAGGTGCACGCTGCCATGCTTGTCTATTTTTTTTTGTATATTTTTAGTAGAGATAGGTTTCACCATGTTGTACAGGCTGATCGCGAACTCCTGAACTCAGGAAATCTGCCCACCTCGGCCTCCCAAAGTGCTAGGATTACAGGCATGAGCCCACTGCGCCTGGCCTTGTTTCTTATATATGTATTTTTTTATTTCCTTAAATTGGGTTTTGCCTTTCTCGCGTGCCTTTTTGATTAGCTTAATAACTTTCCTCTGAATTTTTTTTTCAGGTAAATCAGGGATTTCTTCCTGATTTGGATCCATTGCTGGTGAGCTAACGTGATTTTTTTGAGGATGTTAATCAACCTTGTTTTGTCATATTACCAGAGTTGGTTTTTGGTTCTTTCTCATTAGAGTAGGCTCTGTCAGAGGAAAGGTGTAGGACTCAGGCTGTTTTCAAGGGAAACAAGATTCTTTTGTCCCGGGGGGTGTTCCCTTGACAAATTATTCTCCCCACTTTCCTAGGGATGTGGCTTTCTGCCAGCTAAGCTGTAGTGATTGTTATGTCTCTTCTGGATCGAGCCACCCAGCAGGTCTGTTAGGCTCCTGGCTGGTACTGTGGGTTGTCTGCACAGAGTTCTGTGATGTGAACCATCTGTGTGTCTCTCAGCCATGGATACCAGCACAATATTTGAGGTTTCTCCCGGTTCCTGCAGGAGCAATCTGCTTTCTTCAGTGGGTCTGTGTGTTCTCTCAGCTTTCCTGATTTCCTCAGCTCCACAGTAGGCCTGGAGCAAAAGTTCATGACCTGAGACTCCATACACTGCTCTGTCCATCCAAGTGGGATGGAATCTAGTTCTGCCTCCCATCTGCCATGATTTCCATTATCCACTTT